CGTTTATAAACCAATCGGGAAAGAAGCGAACAACTCCCGAGCGGCCAGTGGTCCCTGGGGTTCAAAACGTACGTTCCATTCATTCCGGAGAGCATAAAGTAACAGTTACTGAAAGACAACAGCAAACTGTATGGTCAACGGGAAGGACTTTTTTCTCGAGCTTCGAAAGCAAGTGTCTGCTTTACGTCAAAGCGGTAATAACGCTGCCGGTGGCTGATGCCAGCCATGGAGTCAAAAGATTTCTGACACCGTGGACAGGCATATTTCTTGCATTTCATTATGACCAGCCCGTATTTATCCTGCACAATTCAAAAATAGATATTAATCATGATATACCCAAGTGCATTAGTTTGAACAATATTTCTTTTCGTTTCGTTTACATTAGAGACAATGTAACAAGGACTTTTTTGAAATGGCCTCTGCGCGTTTGTTTGTTTTTTCTCTCCCTCAGAACAAGCACCGCCTCCGCAACAGTCACATTCTGCTCAGGATGGAAATGTCTGCTATTCTTACTGAATTTTTTTTTTCCCTTCAGATTCAATTCCATTTCTTTTTATTTTTGCTTCCTAGCGGTAGGAGGGACTCTACGCGTGTTCCGTTGTTCCCTTTCAGCTCCCCATTGTCACATCGAGACGACCTTCAGGCAGCACTGTATTACATATGAACTGAGGCGATATATCAATTGCCAGCCTTTCTGAGCACACACAAATCCATAGAGTAAACATTCGTACCTGTACATGCAGTTCTAGAGTTCGCATTTTCTCTATTTATTCCTTGTGAACTTGCTCTGTATTCACTATGCACTGTATGTGGGTAGTCAATGGCGGCACGTCCACAATTACTATGTTACCTCTCTTCCTTTCATTTGCTAAACGCCCAAATGTCCGGTTGCGTTGCCAAAACACAAGAGCCAACAATGCACTGCTTCGTCCACATTGTGATATTGAGCATCTTTCCGATAGCCAAACCCAGAAGGATATTCTTGATATCAACGGACGATATTTGCACTGCCCTGCTCCCGCGTCTCTCAATAGAATATCTTGACGAGAATAAAATATCCCGGGTTGATTATTACAACTCGATTCTATCGCCAACATCAGGCCAATTCGGTGAGGCGATCCTATTTGATGATCTTAGCGCCCAATCGACAATGCCTCCTTTCAGAAGTCAAAACGGCCTCCGGCCGAACCCAGATACTGGCCAATCAAGATTAACTCGGTATGCCAATCTGCCTATGATTGGGTATATATACTATATACCTCTGGAGTGTACTCCGTATGGATCTATTAATATCTTTGCAGCAGATCGACACCATTCAACTTGCAATGCAGGAACTACGTACTCTGTGAGACTGTGTGGGATGGCAATGCACTGTCCCACCTGGAGGCTGTCCAAGGAGAGTCGCATGGGCCTGCTGAGACAGCCGCGCTGTCAAATCATTGTAACAGGGAGCCGGAAGACCAAAAGCAAAAAAAAAATAAAACAAAAACAAAAACAAAAACTGTAACCGGCCCAATAAAAGGCGCCTCTGATGCCTCCTAACAAAAATACACTGTACACCTGGGGTTCTCGCGAATTCTGAAACGGCCGTTTGCTTCGGGGTGGCAATCGTTGAATGCCACTGAATTCAACCATCCCATATCGGGGTTCAGCGGCTAAGTTCGACTTCTATTGGGCGGATGGGGATAGCGCCCAGCGGGCCGTGCGGCAACTTAAATCCCTAGCTGAACCGCCTGGCTCAAGTGTTCTACCTCTTGATGCACAAACCGCGGGGAGTCCAAACCCCCAAAAAAAGGCCAACAAAGAGACATCTGAAATCAAACTAGGATCGTGAAGCAAGGATGGAGAGAAGCCGGACCTGAAGGCCTTAAGCGGAAAATAAAATCGTATCCTAACGAATTATTCACCGGTGACCTGGGCTTCTTGAAAAAGAAAATATAGGTTACTGCAAAGACAGCCAACCCCTCTCACTGTGTGAAGACCAACCCCTCACCAGACCCGTGTATTCCATGAGCCATATCCCTGTAACCATTTAGCTAGATCTACCCGAAGCCTTCGAACCCGAGCATAGCGTTGGCCAGTTCGCCAACAAGTGGAGCGACCTCACTCTGTGAGTCTGTGGCATGTATGTACTGTTAAGAGTAACCCACAGAAAAGATCTTCTCACTCTTTCCTGTCCTGGGAAAAGCCACGTCTCTTTGGCCAGTATATTTAGAAGTATAAAATGTGCCGTGCAGGTATGAATATGGCTAAACGCCCACGGAGATCTCCTCGAAATGAGAACCTACACTGTACGCTTCGTGCACACAAGAGTGGAGGGTTTGAACTAGTTCCCACACTTTGAACCCCTTGTCTACCCCAATGCCCTCCATTGGGGTCCATCCAGGTGGCTGGATACAGAAAGATCGTCTCCACGGTTTGGCACCAGGGTAAACTGCAAAATGTCTCCGTTGTTGGTCCGTGGTAAATTTTCCTCGTTACAACAGGAAGGGAAAAGAAACAACTATAACAGTTCTATGGGATACAAGGTCAAGAAGCAAAACTAACCGTGCTAATAGTTTACGCACATCCATTGTTCTAAAAAACAACGATTTGAACAAAGGGAGGGAACAAAAAATAAGCGCTCTTTTCCCAGAATTCAACCCGCGTTGCTTTGAACTGAGCCGCCATTCTGCAGCCTGTAGCAGCCCCCCTCCCTGTCGCCCGCCCCCCAGGATCCAATGAATTCTCCTCATTCCTCAGGTTAGTGGAGATCAAGACATGCCAGGCCACGACTGTCCATGTAGACGAGCATGTAGGGACTAGCGCTTTCCAGGTGGGCCGGCGTTTGCCGTCCCCCTCTTCGCCCCTGGGGCCTCCTACCTCAGCGTTCCCAGCGCTTGAATCCACCCACTAGCTTCGCTGAATTCTTGCATCTCCAACATCCAATGACACAATTCCGAGAAACCCCTGCATTTCTCCCTTGGCCTCTGCTTCACCCCCTCCCTCCCTTTAAGCTCTTGTCCTATGTAGCCTTGTGTCAGTCGACAAACGATGGCTCTCTTTCCCAACCCTCCAGTTTCACCCCTGGTACCCGCCCATCCATGGATCGGTCCGTTAGCCAACCCCCCAACCCTCCCTTAGAAGTACTGCGTGGTGAAAGCATCTTGTTTTGTTTTCTGCATCTCATATGCCTCTCTGCTTTTCAGGAAGCGCTGACGACCACAGACAGATAGAACCAGCACATAGCCCTTAGAGGGGGGGGGGGGGGGGGGTTGATTGGAAGGGCAGAGTCAGGAGAAAACGGGATAACGGAGAAAGTAAAGCGAAAACATGTAAAATATAAAGAAAATAAAATAAAAATACAGTTCTAATATCTCGAGTATTCAAAGAGATTAGAATTGGACGCTCAAGAATTCATAGGCTCGACTTCACCCTGCCTGCAAATGTAGTTTCATATAAGAACCCTTCGCATGTACCTAGGTAGCTTGTCCACCCAACCTGGGACTGTATTGTCGCTTTCTCCCCACTCTCTTCCATTTCGCTCACTGCATGTGTTTTTTGTTTCGAATCTTCCTCTCCATTGCCTTGACAAGCCTCCATTCCGTCCTTTACCCTCTTGCCCTTTCCTACTTTCCCTGCACTCCATTTCTCCTATGTTGTGCTTTTTGCACCGTTTCCCTCTTAAGTTTCCCCTGCAGCGGCTTCGCTGAAACGAACATACATACTTCTCCGGTTAACCAACCACCTACATATATCTATAATTTTGTATACCTATTTAATCAAACCGGTTTCGTCTGTCTCGTTTCACCCTCCCTCCCAACGGGTCTCGCTCCCCTCCCCGCTGCCCCCTTTTCTCCACCTTACACAGGCCGCTGCATATCGCATACACATAACGCATAACAGAACACCATCCCCGTCCTCTCCAACCCGCTGGCCCCCCTTCTTCCTTGCTGGTAGTTGTCCCCTCGTTTGCTGAAACATAGAAAGGGCGCGCGCGTGCCTCCTAAAAATAGAACGGAAGTTAAGGACCAAGCAAAATAAAAAGTAGCAAGGATAAGCACAAAAGGCGCCTAGATATCACTAGAAGCTTGGTATTCTTCAACTCTCTCCCAGAAGGTAAATATCGGCTTTCTTTTCTTTTTTTCTTTTTTGTTTAAAAAAATAATAAAAAAAAAAAAAAATCAGGAGTGCAAGAATTTTGTTTCGTTTCATGTTTCGACGATCAGTTTTATTTTTTCTTCTTCTGTAACTTTTTTTTTAGTTTATTTAATTTATTTGTTGTCGAAACTGGTGTGGTGTGGATGCCTTGATATACAGCCTTGCTAGGATGCCGTACGGAGTTCTTTAAAACCCTTCCGCGCGGACGCACAAACACAAACCAGTCCATTATCCTGAAATCAAGCAAGAGAAAAAGTGACAACAAGGCGACAGAAGGAAGAAGAGTAAGGCAGACAGGTGTCGGGCCAAACTGGACTTCTGCTAACCATCGTTGGACGTTGGAAGTTCCTTCTACAGGCCCTTCACGTGGTTATTCTGTCTGTCGGCCTGGTCTCTTGTTTGTTTCCCTCTTTCTTTCTTTTCTTTCCTTACACTCCCAAAACCCACAGTTTATTGCACGGTCATCCTCGTTGCATAATATATCTCGTATCACCGGTCGTTTAATTTACCAAAGGCATCTTTTTCTGTTCACCCTTTCCCAATCCCATCTACTCCTCTCCCCTTCTTGTCGATAGCAGGAAGATACATGACGCCGGTATAGACAAAGCAGGGAGACGATTCGTTCTATTCCTTCATGTATAAATATATTGTGGATCACTGTTCCACGACTTGTTAGACCTCGGGCTTCACTCAGAGAGCATATCCTGGCAGCTCCCTCACTCGTTGTGCTCGAAGCTGAAGCCTCGATTTTTTTGTGTCCTTTTGGTTGTAACCTGATACGAACTGAAATGCCGAAACAGACAATCCCCCGAGGATCTAGACGATCCAGGCCGTACCCTGACCCGAAATCGAGAGCTGCAATGATGTCCACAGCCATGATGCATCAAACGCGAACGCCTGCCGCTGCAGCAGGAGCAATCACCCGCCATCCTCCAGCATGGGAGGACCCAAGTTGCCCTCGCACCATGACACCACCACGCATTTCCACGTTAGATCGTCGGACCATTCCCGAACGGCCTGAACGCGCGGTGCCTGCTTCTCCCGCCACACCCTCCACTCCAAGTCAATCTGGACCATGGTCACCACAAGACGATGAGATTCTCATCTCTGCTCGTGCCCAAGGGCTTGGCTGGAACCGAATCCAGGAGCAAAGTTTCCCATTCAAAAGCTCTAACGCGTGTCGGAAGAGGCATGAGCGGCTCGCAGCGAAACGTCGGGGCTCTGAGTGGGTAGACGAACGAGTCCAGAGAGTGACAAGGCACTACAACCAGCTGAGGCCCGAAATTTGGCGACCACTAGCAGAAGCCACAGGGGAACATTGGGAGGATGTAGAAAAGCTTGTAAGTTATTCCCAGTCCCCTTTCTATGGTGATCCGCATCCTGCCTTCGTTCCGGGACACCACCGGCAAAATGTGAAGATCGTCAGACGGATGTTGGCATTAACTCGGAGACCACTTAGTGTTTGGAACGTGCCCAGCGAAATCTTCTGCCCATGACAAGCCCAAGCTCCTTGAGGAGAGCAACCTCCGATAACGAGAGTCGAGGGAGTCATGATAGTCATGATGAAGAGAAGTTAAAGATCCCCAACCTCATACGATGAAAGATACACCAGACGCTGCATTCCCGATGGGATTAAATGGGATAACCCTTGGGCGAGTTAGGCGTGTGGTGGTTGCTAAAATTTGTGGTTAGCGGGTCCTTCATATTCAGTTTTTTCACGCATCCTAGTCAGCTTGCATCGGGTCTGCCATTTGCTTTTGAAATTTTTTTCCTCTTTTCTCTTCATTTTTCTCTTCGGTTGTTAATGGAGTCAAGATACATACATATGTAGCCATCTCTTGGGCTATTGCCCAAGATTAAAAACATATGAAGGGGTATTGTTAAAGGAGTATGTGCCGAGTCGTTGGGATTTTGTCTGTTAACGCAATGATGCGTTTTTCCTAATATCGTTTCATTTTTTTCCTTTGTTGAATTTTTAGACGATTTTCATCGGTTTTGATCCGTATGCTTTGCGTTCTAGTTCCTTATGAGTTGTCCTTTCTCTTTCTTACCAACTTTCCAGTGTTCCAGCTTCCCAATGTATTTCCTTGCTTTTTTATACAGCCTTATACCTCTATAAAGTCTCTTTTTCCATATCCAAAACGCACAACTCAAGAAAAGGAACGAAGCGGGTTGGAACAAAGAAGCGAGGCGTTCATCTGTGAATTTCTTTCTCTTTTTCCTTGAGGATGTTAGATAGAGCCGGATTTTATCCAATCTCCCGGCCCTAATATACCACCATCCTCAGCACGAGCGTCAAGAGACCATTTCCGTAATGGCCGACATAGAAGATCGGAACGCCACCCAGCTTCAAACATTTCAATCCCCGCCCACCCAATCATCGCGGCATTGTCAGTGCAAAGATAGGGCGGAGGAGCAATAACATCGACATCTGAAAATCCACGAATGTCGAGAAAAGAACGGAACAGCCTCCTCAAGAACCGATTAGCACCAACCCCTCCGCTAATGACAAGGTGTTTTACATCCTCAAACTTTTGACTTTCGCATGTTTGGTCTTGCCGCTGTTCCCTTTGTGCGTGCTGTTGTTGTTCGCGTAAGTTTTGCAGAGCAATCATTGTCCGAGATGCTAGATGTTCGAAACACACTGTCATAAAGGTACGCGCGATATCCATCCTCTCGTCATTTGACATGAAGCAATCTCCGGTATTGCCCGCAGCTTGCCATGAATCTCGTTTGTTGGAGATAATAGTTTGAGCCTGAGATGCGACCCCTGAAAAACTAAATTCCAACTTTCTGGTATTGGCAAACGGCATGGGAATTGACCATCCCCACCGATTATCCTTCGATTTCATGACTTCCTCCATTCGTGTTCGTGGAGGTTGGTAGTCTGCGTAATCGCTAGGGCCATCGGGGAACGCAAATTTTTCCAGCATTTTCCCGTACATCGTAGTATTCGACTGCTCCAGGAACGACTGGGGCAGAAGAGATCTGGCAAGTTTATCCAGAGCATCTCCAATGGCAATGTCCGATGTGGAAGCGAGTATCTCGTGATCCACTATTGACCTCGAGAGTACAAGCAGCGTGTGCCCTCCAGATACAAGAATGGACATGAACGGGAAATTCGGCCTACTGCTAGTTCCTGTATCTGCCTTCTCTCCAGCTGTTGTTTCGCCATGCTGTCGTTGTTGGAGAGAAGCTGCCAAGCGGGGCGTAAGAAGGTGTGCTTGCATATGATGCACGCCGACAATGGGAACCTGCCAGGCCACCGAGAGTCCCTTAGCCGTATCCAGACCCACGGATAGATTCGATCGCATTCCTGGGCCCCTTGTAACTGAGATGAAATCGGGCTTCCGTAGTAATGGCGGCCGGTCCCCACGGGCAGCGGAGGAGGGAAGGCTGATTATCCGTCCCGCATCATTCGCGCCCGTAAGCTCAGCTGCAGGCAGATACGTCAAAGCCTTATTGACCAGCTTTGCTGTATGCTCCTGGTGGGAATCAAGAGCCACGACAGGGTGGATGCCGTGGTATTTCCTCGAGTCCGCTGTGATGTTTTCCAGGAAATGGACGGTAGAGCTGGCGGGGATTGACGACGATGATGACGACGACGACGACGACGACGACGACGATGACAGCTCGCCATGCTTCTCGACAATGGCCACAGAAGTGTCATCGCTGAAGAAGTTTCAATCCATGGACAAGGCATTCAAGCTGGTCAGCAAACCGTTTCTTCCCTGACATCGATCATAGTTCAAAGAAAGGTTATAGGCATCCCATGTAACATATGTGACCTACCATGACGATTCGATGGCGAGAGTTAGAAGATATCGCGGGTCAGAGATGCGGCGACTAGAGAACAATTTACGACAGCACAGTCCCCGCAATGGTTGCCGGAGAAAAAACATTGACTGTGTTGCTGCGAAACCCAAAGGAGTGTAAGGAGCGGTTGGGCACGAATAGCGATGGGCAGCACCGCAAGCAAGCTTTTTTGGTTCTTTCGAGTCCGAAGAAAGTTTACCCAAGGATCTGCAGGAACCAATCACTCGGGCGGAACGGGTTCTTACATGGAACACAGAGACAGACAGCCCACCAGCACTCTCTGAGATTGCGCATTATCTTGTTCCTTTTAGGAAACTCTCCTACTCCAAGTTTAATTTGTTCTTATGTCGAAAGTTTCGGGAGATACATCCTAAGAGTTGGTTCAAAATAGCTTCCCAGCGATTTTATCCAAAGTCGTCACCTCCCCAATCCCCAAAGTAGATACTCACGTGAATTCTTTCGCATGCACGGTATCACAATACAAGGTGGCACAACTTAATTTTTAGTTCGTGAAAGGACAGGATCGTTGCTATTTTATCTAATTTTCAATGTTACACCCCGAGGATCCAGGCAGGTATCGGACAAGTAAAAGAGGCACGATCCAGGATCGTGAAGAAATTTTTTGCAAGGAAGTCCCTTGTCTAGGCTTGGAACATCCAATTGTCCTTCCTTGCAAGCGCTAGAAATTTATATGATACGGTAAGTATGGTACACACCCTCATAACAGTTTTGGGGGGGAGGGAATCTGGGTTGGGAGGCTTGATGCCTAAACCTTGGCGGTCAAGTTAGGCACGAAGGCCCCATCAGTATTGAGATTTCCATTTAAATTTCGGTACTGGATTTACGGAAAACAACGAGTGTTGCTTGGCTTTCACCGCTTTGCCAGCCCTTAGCTACGCAAGAAAGCAAACCGTCACAATGAAACAAACCATGAAATGAAAAATAATTGTCAATATTCACTTGGGAGGGAAAGAAAATATCCGGATCAAAAAAAATAAATAAAAGTTTAATTTATCCGAAACCAAGAAAGATTTAAATCAATAGAGTTCGTGAGGGGCATAAATTCCGAAAAGGCATACATGTCTGCTGCTTTCATTTCCCTTCTCTAACACATCACAAAAATGTCCCAGCCACCACCCCTTTAATATTACTAAATATAGCTACTATATCTCCGCCTCGCAAACGAAGGAAATGTATCCCCCTCCCTTCCCCCTCCCGCCTCCCGGCTCCCCGGGGTGCGGACCCGCTATTCTCCTGAAGCTGCTGATCGCTCGCGGTGGGTGAAGCATCGAATTCCCGTGGTGTATGGTTTCATGGGTTTCAATTGAACGAGTGGCCCCTGGCGCGTGAAAGAGGGGTAGCGAGTCCGAGCATACAACTTATCCAGGGACAAAGCTCGCATGTCCACCACACTCAGACAGAAAGGAGAATTGAGTGAGTGGAAAAGAGACCCCACCCCCAATTTTCCAAGAGGAGGAACGGAAACAGAGGGATACGACGGGGTCGTGCTGGATAAAGTCATATATAAAGTCATTCAATTTTCCCAATACGGCGTTTTCTGTTATTTTTGCTTTGATATCATTTCACATCCGTCATTTAAGAGCGGAGCAGCCATCGTCGCTCGTCTCTGGACATCTTCACGTAGCCACCATAGTAGTCATCTGTGTTCTCAATAGGGGTCACACAGTGGATGGTGGGTTCGCAATTGAACTGGATTCGCTTAGAAGAGGCGCCGCTCCCTGGAGAGCTGGAGCAGGAGCTGGAGCAGGAGCTATTCTTCTTGAGGATGCTTTTCGAAGAGGCAGAGTTGGCATATGCAAAAGGAGCTTGATGTTGCATGGTGGAGAAACCTCGTTGGTTGAGCTTTGTGTTGCGAGCAGTTGGGCTCAGAGGAGAAGGCGATAGTGGTGTCCGAGGAGACATGGTCATAGTCATGGCAACGGGAGATTTGAGGGATAGAACAGGACGTGATGTGTTGCTGGTCGAGGCAGCAGCGATGCTCAAAGAGAGCTTAGGCTTAGCGGCGCGTGCAGCGTACATTATGTCTGTGGTTGTCTGTGATTGTTTGAGGGTATGTTGAAGATAAGAGAACGCTTGAATATATAAGAGGATAGATATAAAAATATATGCTCCTTCTTCAGCGTCGATCAGGGTGAAAATGAGTCGTCGACTCTGGCGCGGCCACGAGACAAGACCGAACGAATAAATAAAATGAAGACACGGAGGCCTGCTGAAAATAACCGGAGACCACTTCAAACTGAAGCGTAGAGACAGAGGATAAAAATAGAATGAATATTAGAGAGGCGCGATGATTGGGCCAGCCAATCAGTGCAAATTGGAATAAAAAATATGAGAGGAGGAAATAAAGAGAAGAAAGGGGAGTTTGAAATTCGAAACAGAGACTGCAGCAAGAAAGCAGGACAACGAGGGAAACCTCAGCGGCTATATAGACCCTTGAGCTGCCCAGTCGCCCAGTTCGGAGGAGTTGGGTTCAAGGGGCAAAGGGGCAAAAGGTGTGCAAAATAATGGTGGTTGGCTGATCGCTGCTGCAACCGCCTGGAAAGGTCTGGGATGCTGAGATGCTTGGACCCAGCCCTCCCTGTCTCGGCCAATCAGGTCCTGAATGTGCAGGGAGGGCGGTGGAAGCGCCCTACCAATGCATGACGACACATCGAGATCACGCATATCTCACGTTGTGGCCACTTGCGGATTCTTGGTCTGGTCTATCAGATGCCAACTCCACCCAACCTCGTCTGCTGGAGTTTGTGCACGGGTTGGACAAGCTGCATGAGGACAAACCGAACAACAGAGGAAGGGCGAATGTGTGACCGATGTTGGTGATTTGGCGGTGATGGCGTGGTCGATTTTTTCAAGCCAGCCTTCGTTCCTCTCTAGAATGAACAACAACTCAAGGTGCGGGGTAAAGTTGCGATGCTGTTGGATCAGCAAATTGAATTGTCCTTGGAATCGACCTGATTATTCAAATTTAAATCAACATGTCTTTCTCTATGAGTATGGAGCTCTCTAGCAGAGGTGCTTTTTGTCTGATAATTCTAAGGATCCATTCCAGACGGTTTTCTTTATTAATTGGAAAAGTCAGTGTGTAAGTTAGTTAACGCTTAATCAACCACTCACTGATTGGTTAATTTCTACTCTTAATTATCAGAGAAACCAGTTCAGAGTCTTTGGCTTGACCAGTCATTTTAACTAAATCATATTCTAATAGCTTCCAAGATGACCGTATAAGCATCTATATTGATAAAGTTGCGGTGTACAAAATACTTGTAATTTTAATTATTTATTTATTATTACTGCTTCCCTGGGAAGGTCTTTCAAGGGAATTGTATGGAAGAATAACAGGCGTGCTATTAAAGTCAAAGGACGATGTTGTCAATGAATAAGGGATGAATAGACTAATAGTAAGAAAATGTTGGCGGTTTGGATTGGCCCCAGTGGGCCTGGCAGAAAAGGGGTTTGCGGGTATGAGGTATGAAAAGCTTTATATGTACTGTACAAACGGAAGCGGAAAGGTGGAGGGAAAGAAAATATGCTCACTGGACATTAGCCGGATGCAAAACCCATTAATTTGACTGTCGATACTCGAAGCTTTACGTTGTAAAGTATGGATTTAAGTTTTCTAAATTTTGAGGGCTCTCATTTAGATATTGAGGCCCTGACTTCAAACATACTACTAGCACTCCACACATGATTTCAAAAAATAACTATGCTACTAAGAGCAAATAAGAGTTAGTGAGTCAAAAGGTTACCTTGATCTTAAAATAAATAAAGGGCCGAATCCATGAGTACAATAATGGCAGCGCCTGGGAATTGGCAGATAGTAATAGTCCATAATCCAGTTGTACTGCACAGATATAGCAACACTGTGATTTAAACTTGGTCTGTAACATTGCTTGCCTTTGCCCTTCTGAAAGATAAATAAGAGTAAATTCCCAGGCGGACTTCCCAGATCTGCTTCCCCCCCAAATGTATAGAGCTAGCAAAAGTTTGTTCCATGCGCAGGCGGAGTATTTCGATTGATTGTCAGGGCAATAATGGTTTGAGCAAGAGTACACAGCTCATGTAGCCAAGGACCCATACCATTCCCAGTGTCCATACTAGCATTCATCAAATGTAAACGTTCGGTGGCATTGTCTATAAATTTTTTACCCTCTCAGATAAATCTGCTTCTGTAGCTATGAGAGTGAGATCCGGCCATTGAATCAAGAATAAAATAACCAGGTCAGAAAACGAATACAGCGAGCAATACATACTGATCTCATCCAAGTCATTGAATTAAAAATGAGGTTAAGATTTTCGATCACTGACTGACACAACGTGCTTCTTAATTGTTTGATAAAAGCTACTAGTAATGTTGAGAATGTGAAAAGTGAACTGGTTTACTCAAGCCGTTACAATTGAAATATGAGACATTAATCCTCTTTAACCACATCTAAGGGGTCCAGGGTAGCCCCCATGGGGCTTAATTTACAATGGAGATAACTATCCTGCTCTTTCCTCCATTTCCTCGCGAGCAAAATAGATTTCGCCCCGCAACCTTACGCACTATCGATAGCATACAAAGAAAATAGACTTCCTCATAAGCATGGCGCTTAATCTCGGATTTCGCTGCCTTGAAGTTCAGTAGAATGGATGGGTCAAAGCAACCCCTGCCAGCAAGGTTTCCTGCATTATTGGGATAGGGTTTGTACCCCTGCCAAGGACCATCAAAAAGACTCAACTTTGACGACAACAGGGGCTATGTAGTCTCCCTTTTTTTCTCTTTGGCTTGTGGATTTCGCAACGCAGGATAGAGAGACGAGCAAGAATACTGTCTTTTTGCCCCTCTGGCAGTTTACGTGGTGTGGGATATCAGAATTGGGCCGATGCGGGGAGGGCGGGTCCGAGCTGTGTAGCTTGTGCCGATAACGGCTCCTCAGGCTCTGCGTAACTAGTGGGAAGCTAAGCTCGAGAACTCCAAACGATGCTCTCCGGTGAGCACAATACCAGGGGAAATACTCTGGCTACGCATGGATTCCTCAGCCTCGATACATATCATGGGTATCGTAGAAAGAGAAAAAGCGCGTACTGGTCGCGGTCTTCAATGCAGGAACCAAAAAGCTTGTGTAGGGCTCGGGAGTGCTAAAAATAAGTAGCCACGATGAAACCGAGGCTTCTTCCCTAACTGCACAAAACAATGCACGTCTTGTCCGCTGTGGCTAGATACGCCGTATCTCAGTAGTCAGTTAACTAGGTAAATAAATAAGCCAATCTGACACAGTCAATCGCCTCATCGGCCTTGGACAGAACGCGGACGCGACCATTTTGTCACATGGTTCGTAGGTCCAGCCAACCCACCGCCCACGCCTTGCCCGATCCGGCCGCCGTTACCGGTGGGCCAGATCCGTTGAGTCAGCAATCAAACACCTGCTCCGACAATTCTATTGGCTGGCCGCTGGTCAGCAGGCAAAAAAATCTGTCACCTTCAAAAAATGACAGTTTTATTTCATTTGGCCTTCTAAGCAAGGTTCTCGATCTCCTATTGCTCTCTGGTGTTTTTTTTTTTTTTTTTTTTTTGGCAAGACCACCACATCCCACCGCTCACACGCACACTCATTATTATGAATCGTTGGAAGTGATTTTTCATCTTTCTTCATTTTCCGCTTTTTTGTTTTGCAGTTGGTTTAAGGTGTTGGTTTTCCAACGTTGTTACGTTTCGACTTTCGTTTCTCCCTGTTCACTCACTACTGGTAGGCTGGCTAGCTCCAGAACCTCTTTTAGCTGCATTCCTCGGAATCGCGGCTGTTGACCTTGTCGAAATACCCAGGTCGTTTTTTCTTTTGGCCTTTTCTTCAGCCTCACATCCTAACCCCAACAGCTCATTCACCTGGATAGCTGCGAGGTACCGTGCATGAGTGTGTGAGTGTGTGGCTATCATTGAGTTCCAATTACCAATTAGCCTGCTCACCTCACAAATCTTTCGATCATGGCTGGAGTTAAGGATAGTATAAAGGATTCCCTCAGGGGAACCATTGTGCCGGATCCAACCCTGCCAGTTACATCCCGGATCAGGGCACATTTCCACCATCATTCTAGAATTGATAGCGAGACAGAAGAGCGATATATGAACGAGGAGGATTTCATCAATGCCATTGCCCCCGTACATGAAGACTATGTAAGTAGTCTTTTTTATTTCCATGAGCTACGTAATCAGAAAACAAACATCGATCCGCTGACACCTCGATTTTAATTCACAACCGACAGCACAAAATTAAACGCGAACAATACGGTATCCTATTCCGAGTTGCCGACCGACGAAAGACTGGCAAAGTAAACCTGCATGATTGGGCCGCGTTCGAGAATCTAATTGCCAAGCCTGATGCGGAATATGAGATTGCATTCCGTTTGTTTGACGTTGAGGGGACGGGCGCGATTAAATATGAGACGTTCCAAAAGTTATATAAGGAGAATACGGGGAGCGATAGTATCCCCTTTGACTGGAACTCGGAATGGGCATCATTGTATACAGGAACGAAGAAGCGACGGCATGACATGACCTACCCTCAATTTGCACAGATGCTCCGTGGCCTCCAGGGCGAGAGAATACGTCAGGCATTCCACCTTTTCGATATGGATGGGGATGGATACATCGAGCCGGAGGATTTCCAGCGTATCATACTGAAGACCTCCAAACACAAGCTTTCAGATCATGTGCTAGATAATCTACCCTCCCTGTGTACCATCAGCGCGGGAAGTAAGATTTCGTATGCAAACGTCCGCGCTTTTCAGAATATAATACGAGAGATGGATATGATCGATAACATCGTCCGCAGCGCCATCAGCAAGAGTCACGATGGCAAAATCACCCGCACCGATTTCCTCAACGAAGCCGCTCGCATAGCGCGCTTTTCTCTCTTTACCCCTATGGAAGCTGATATCCTCTTCCACTTTGCCGGTCTCGATACCCCCTCGGGAAAACTCTCCTTAAACGATTTTGCGAAAGTCGTAGACGCTTCATGGCATTCTACAGCTGCTGCGCTCGGTAATGCGGCGGGTGGAAGGCGCCACGCAAGCCGCAGACAAGGCCACTACCAAATCGAAACAGGGTCCTCCATTAGTATTCTGGGAGTCCGTGGCATCATTTTTGG